CTCTCTCTCTCTCCCTCCCTCCCTCCCTCCCTTCCTTCCTTCCTCTCTTTCTCTTTCCTTCTCTCCCTCCCTCTCTCCTTCCTTCCTTCTTTCCTTCCTTTTTTTTTTTTTTTGTGTATGTGTTTTTTCTGTGTAGCTTTGGCTGTCCAGGACTCACTTTATAGACCAGGGCTGGCCTGAAACTCACAGTGATCTGCCTGCCTCTGCCTCCCTGAGTGCTGGGATTATGGGTGTGTACCACAACACCTGGCAATTTTGTTTCTTTTGGTGGGGACGTTGCAAGGGCCAGGGTGGGTATGAAGGGACAGGGAGATGAGGACTGCGGTGCATGAGAATGAAATTCACAAAGGAGAAAAAAAACAAAAAACAAAAAACAAACAAACAAACAAACAAACAAACAAAAAACCCAAAAAACCAAACCAAAAAAAAAAAAAAAAAAAAAAAAGAAAAATTAAAAAATAGAATGTGCCTGATCAGAACTTCCCCTCCCTCCTCTCCTCTCAGTCCTTCCCTCTCCCCTCAATTAGTGATCAATGAGGCAGGGCCCAGCCCATGGTGGATAGCACTATTCCTGGGCTGGTGGTCTTGAACTTGCTATGTGGCCCTGGCTGGCCTTGAACTCATGATCTTGCCCCAGCCTGCTGAGAGGTATTATACACACAGAAGAACTACCATGTATGGCTCCTCCTTCTTGTTAAGTAATAATTAGTGCTCCGGTCTGTTAAATTTTATACAGATATTTAAATATTCTTTTTTTTCTTTATTAATTACACTTTACTCACTTAAATATTCTTTAAGTGAAATAATTTAAGAGCTATTCTTACCAACAAAACGGGTTTGGAACTCTCGAAAGACTTGAGAAGAGTTTTGTTTGTATGAAGGCAAACGTTTCCAGGAGCCATCTTCACATTTCCTCATGAACTGGTCAAAAAGGAGTCTTAGATCTTTACTCCAGCTGGGGTTAGGGAGAGCATAGTCCTTATGAATGGCTTTCTCAGAAGAAAATAACCTCTAAAAACAGAGACAAGAAAAAGAGGAATAGGAGGTATGTGCTATTTCATATTTTCTGCTAGTTACTAAGAATACCATGCTGCTTTTCTTATTGCTAGAAAGTGATCGCTTCAAAATGGTTGGGAACTTCAGAGCTCATTTGTCCCACACCCCTTCACAGAATTGGGAGAGTGACAAAGGGTCAGTGATTTGCCCAACTTCTCCCAGCTAGTTACTGGCAGAGATAGTATTAAGCGCAGGTCAGCCAGTCACCAGAGATAGAGAGATGAACAGATATTACCAAAAGTACACAGGTAAGTACACACATAGGAAACTGGAGACAGTATTGGTTCAGTATTTGGCTCCTTGACCTGAATACTGATGAGTTGAAAGTAGCCATTTGGAAAGAGTAGTATATATAAAAACAACCAACCAACCAACCAACCAACCAACAACAAAACCAAAATCAATTTGTGCAAACACAAGGAGGCATGAAATAGTTTTGAAGGGTTTTATTATACTCTATGCAATAGGAACTAACAATTGTCCCCACTTTATAATGATGAAATTAAAGTCTAAAAGAAGCTAGGCAGTGTCACAGTGTAAGAGAAGGAGCAGAAGTATATAAAGGTGTAGGCAAAGCCTCAATGCTAACTGTTTTTGAATTGTATCTGCAGCACTCTCAAAATTATCTAAGTAGGGAGTAATGTACTCAAATTTGGTTATAATAGGGAAGACAGTGGTAATGTCCAAGGCTGCAAAGAGAGGGTTCTGCTTGGAGGCGATTGGGGTAACTCAGTGAGAATCATGAGGTTATAAAGCAGAGCTCGGAACTACTTCCACAAAGGAAATGTAGAAACAGTATAAACACTACAGCCAATCCCAGGTATATGAATGGCACCATGGAGTGACAGTTAATTACAAGAAGGAATACAAGATAGACAAGAAGGAGGCTGGGAGAAGGGAACTTGGTGTCATGCTAACTATGACTTCCACCCTTGATTGTTCTCTGGAGCACTGTGCATTGCCACCACTCCAGTGAACAACTGGAAGGTTGGAGGACTAGGAAGACAGGGTGAGATTTATGGAGTTTCATAAAACAATGTTCAGAGACAGCAGACAGGAGAGCTGCTGCAGAAATCCCAGAACAGTTAAGATTACAGGAGGTATCAACTATGTAGCATTCTACTTCTAGTCACCATTATCAATCTATTTTGATTAATGTATATATCACTTGGACCATACCCCTGACACCAAAATACCACGTTTGGAGGAATCAGCTTCTCCTGCTGTCTGGGCTGGCTCCAATCCTGATTCAATAGGAAGAACAGAGGGAGCCTGTCTCAAGTACTCTATAAAAAAGAGCCAGATTGTTGAGATGGCACAGTGGGTGAAGGGTAAAACCTGCACCAAGTCTGATGACCTCAGCTGCATCACTGCAACTTATACAGGAGGAAGAGAGAATAACAGTTGCCCACAAAGTTCCAAACACAAATAAATAAATAAATAAATGTAAACAAACAAACAACAAAAACCCTTCATTGGAGACAAAAAGGAAGACCTGACTTTGTGGTACTAGAAAAGTGAGGAAACAAACAGAAATGACATTGTCTGTAGTTCAGGATAAGTAACCTCATTTTCTATATTGCTTTGATCAGCTTATCCTTTCAGAACCTAGTTTAGATAAACTGGTAAAGACAGAAAAACGCCACCTATTATTTTTCCCTCTAAATAAAGCTGTGGTAAAATATTGATGTGTTTCCTCCAAGTTCTTTTCATTCATTGCACTGCACCCTGATTTATACCTAAGGCAGTTCATTTTACATTTTTTCTGGTCAGCTTCTCGCAGCCAAAACCTTCTTGCATAGTTACAAAATAGTAAACTTCATTCAATAGTTTTTTCTCTTTTTATACTGCTTATTCCCTTTGAAGATGCCGTATGTTTTTTGTTGTTGTTGTTGTTTCCTTGTTTTCATTGAAAAAAAAATTTACAGGGCTTTAAAATTTTAAAAGCCAGAGGATCAAGGACCTTGCTGTGTTTCCTAGTAATGCCAAAATCTGTACCAGTAAAGTCTTAGAAACATGACTGCCTAAATGTGACCTGAACAAGGACAAACAATGAACATGTTAAACCACACAGTGAACAGCCCAAGCGGCTTCAACCCTACCTAGAGAACTCCAGGGAACTGAGTAAAGCTGGGAATGGGAGGAGTGCAGCAAATGGCTTTTTAGTCCCAGACATCGCTGAAAACATACACACAAGTAACATTATGTGGGCTCAACAGGCTGTGTCCGGAATTGTGTGTGAATACATAAATGCATGTGAGCATATGAAAACTGATGATAAAAGAGATCATGAATTTAAAGGAGAGCGAGGTATATGAGAGAGCTTAGAGAATAAAAGGGGAGAAATGTAATTAAAGTACAATCTCAAAAATAAACAAAAGTTTTTTATTTTTTAAATTTTGTTTTTGAGACAGGGTGTTGCTATATAGCCCAGGCTGGCCGTAAGTTTGTGATCTTCCTGCCTCCGAAATGCTAGGATTATAGGCGTGTACAATGGTGTCCAGCATGAAATCAATCAATCTCTCTCTCTCTATGTATATATACGAACTCCAGACCATATATATACTCCTGTAAGTTGCCTCAGTTATGGTGTCTTCACAGCAATAGAAAAGTAACTAAATCAGAAAGAACTCTTAACTACTAAGTTATATTTCCAGGACCAGTAATAACCATTTTGTTTTGAGACAGGGTCTCACTAAGTAGCCCTGGATGTCCTGGAACTCACTCTATAGATCATGCTAGGCTCGAATTCACAGAGGTCAGCCTGCCTTTGTCTTCTGAGTGCTGGGATTAAAGGCGTGTCATAATGCTTGGTTTATTAGTCACTTTTTTTTTTTTTTTGAGAGAGAGAGGGTTTCTCTGTGTAGCCCCTAGCTGTCCTGGAACTTCACTCTGTAGACCAGGCTGACCTCAAACATAGAGATCCACCTGTTCTGCTTCCTGAGTGCTGGGATCACAGGTGTGTGGTCCCCTCCCCAGGAAGTCTGCACTTCCCTGACTGGGAATTGAACCCCAGCCACAGCATGAAGAGCACTGAATCCTACCACTACCATACTGGGGTTGCTGGTTCATATTTATGAATCTGGGTTCATTTTATTTTTAGGTCTCTTTTTTAATATTTATTATTATTTGTGTGTGAGTGTGAGTGTGTGAGTGTGTGAGTGTGTGTGTGTGTGTGTGTGTGTGTGTGTACATGCCATGGCATTCATGTGGAGGACTTAGGACCATTTTGTGGAGTCAATTCTCTTCTTCATTTTTACATGTATTCCTGGGATTGTATTCAGATTGTCAGGTTGCAGGACAAATATCTGGCAAGCCATTTTTTTGGCCCTACTCAGACTTCTCAAATAGGAAGCCGCAGCTTGGATCAGTTTTAACAAGTTTTTTTGTTTTGTTTTTTCAAGACAGGTTTCTCTGTGTAGCCTTGGCTGTCCTGGACTTGCTTTGTAGACCAGGCTGGCCTCAAACTCATAGCGATCTGTGTGTCTCTGTCTCTCTGAGTGCTGAGACTAAAGGGGTATGCCACCATGTCCATGTCAGTTCAGTTTTAACATTCTTTTATGGGCTAATGAAATACAGCTAATTGAAGAGTTTTAGTAATCACAACGACTCCCTGGGCTCGTCTACCTAATTAATTACTGATTTATTTGGAGACAGGGTCTCACCATGGAGCTTTTCGGGAATTCACTATGTAAGCCATGCTGTCCTGGAATTCACAGACTCTCCCTATTTCCTGAGTGCTGGAATTAAAATCCTGTTCCACCACACCCAGTCTGATTTTAACTCTTATATTTATGGTTGTGAGCCTTTAGCCTAGCTGAGCCATCTTTCCAGCCCTGATTTTAACTTTTAAAGGAAAATCCAGTAAATTGTTTTGAGTTCTATTATGTACCCTGTTTTTATACTAGGGACAGGAAAGAAAAAAAATAGCTAGGTCCTGCCTTTAAGTGATAGCAACCTCAGATATGGGAAATATTAGACATAATATAGATACAAGTGTTTTCAGAGGATATTTAAACAAACAGCACATCAACAACAAAAACCTCCAAGTGATAACAACAAATAATCCAGAGTTACTTCTTGCAGCTACAGTTTATGAAGGAGAACTAGGGGCTACTCTAAGCAAAGACACAGAGGATGAAATGACTACATGGTGCACTGGAGAACCGCTGGGATCTCAGCCTTCACAGATGAAAAGTGCAGAGAAAAGAGACAAACCAAGACATGGCTGACAAAACAGAATAGGCATCACACTACAGGCCTTAATTTTAACCTTCTGGGTCAATGGTTTAAAGAAAATAATATTCAAGGAGATAGATATATGTTTTAAATATTATAAATAACATAATATATAACTTCAGTAATAATTAAATACTTTATATATTTATATAACTTGAAAGGACATGAATAGCCCATCACACTCATTATATTCCAAGTGTTTTTACTTAGGATGAAACTACTTGAAGAGGCAATCATGGGGCTGGAGAGATGGCTCAGTGGTTAAGAGCACTGGCTTTTCTTCCAGAGGACTCAGGTTCAATTTCTAGCACCCACATGACCTCACAACTGTCCAAAGCTCTAGTTCCTCCAACACCCTCTTCTGGCTTCTATAGGCACTGCCTCACATGGTACACAGACATACAGGAGGCAACACACACACACACACATACACACATACCCAAAAAATTAAAAAAAAAAAAAATCCCCTAGATAGGGTTTCTCTGAGTAGCTCTGGCTGTCCTGGAACTTGCTCTGTATACCAGGCTGGCCTCAAACTCAGAGATCCGCCTGCCTCTGTCTCCCAAGTGCTAGGATAAAAGGCATGCATTGCTCTTTCTTTTTCCTTTTTTTAAAAATAAAGTGCCATCATGTAAAAATCATGAAGGTGGTACTTGAAAGCTGAAACGCCTTTTTCCATAATGAGCCTTCAGAAAGTAAAACATTGTTTTTTTTTTTTTTTTTTTTTTTTTAGAAAGTTTCACTGAGTGCAAAGGATGAGTTAAATTGGTGAAAGAAACCACCACCACCACTATCACCACCACCAACAGGAAAGTAGCAACCAAGGCTGTTAAAAGGTCTGGGTTAGATGTGATCCAAAGCTGAACTAGGTACAGAGGAATAAGAAAAAAAGTTTTAAGTGATATTCAGTACTAGAACCCAGGGAAATGGGGAGTTAATAATTTCAGGAATGGGAAAGCAAAAGTCTTGGATGACACCAGAGTTGTGGTTTTGATGGCAAGGTTAGAAGGAAAAGATGTTTGTTAGTGTGAAAGTGCAATCAGAGAGAATGGGAGTGGAGGCATGTTGAGTCCTTAGATGGACACGACAATGTTGCAGGAAATGAAAACTTAATTTTCAGTTCAAAGAGGCAAGAACTAAGAGCCACTTGCAGTAAATGTACTTGTAAATTCACAGCACAGACTATGAGGGAATTGTAGGGATAATCATTACCCTTTGTTCTCAGTTGAGGAAAGGTCATGCTTGATCTTTAGTTACACATTTATAAAAGTTGGACTTGTAATAAAGTTACGACTTTCATGCCTCCTTTTATAAGTTACTGTATCGAAAGCAGCATGACATTAAAGCCTGTAAATACTTATGCTTAAATGTTTTCAGCGTAGACTTCCAGGCACCAACACGTAATTAAAGAAACTAATTTGTATCTGTTGTAAGATCACCACAATGCATTTTCTTTTCTAGTGGGCAAGATGGTACCTGACGGATGATAATAAATCCACATTCATTATTATTTTAAAACTGTGTGTGTGTTCATCATTGAAGCCTCCAGCCCTCATTTATTGCCTAGCAGGAAGCTCCAATAGCTTAAAAGAGATGCCACAGTGACCTAATAACCAAAGCTTTCTTCCAGTTCTTACTCAACGCAGAGCTGGTCCCTGTTGCTCTTTAGTTGCTCTTTATCACAACACAAGGTATACAGACTTTTGAATTTGGCAAACTAACCCCATTCTCCCAAACTAGACCACACACTCCTTGGGAGGTACGTTTTATTCCCCCCCCCCATCTAACTGTATTATATTTTACTTATCATCGTTGGCGCTCAACAAGTGCTGACTACATCAATGAAACAAAGCAGGGATATAAATAAGGGCAGACAATATTTACGATTTATATTCCGGAAACGGTAAATGCTTCCCTGGCTTTATCCCGTTTAATCTTCCAGCATCCTCTAAGGTGACGAAAATGGGCTACAGAAGATGTAATTGATTACCTGACAATCAGAAAACTCCTACCTCTTCCCAAATTGGCTGTAACGAATTAGAGACCATCAGGATTAGATCCCTGGAGAGGATAATTGGTCTTTTCCAGCTCTGTAAAGCTGCTTCTTTCACGATTTTCTGGGTGAACTTATTTAACCTTTCTTATTATATCAGGTGGCGGTCCCATCCTTGCTGACCTATTTCAACCTTAGTCACGTTCCCTTCCGTTTCCTCCCGATTCTAATCTCAAGGCTGAAGAATCTGCACCGCGTTACAGCCCGGGCAGGTGTTAGATTAGCCTGGCTCGGCCTCTCTCCCTCCTCGACCCACGAAGGCGGCGTCCGGGGACTCACCCTCGCAGCTTCGGGCCGCCTCGCAGGCGGGGACCCAAGAGTGCGCAGGCGTATAGCGCAGCTTCTAAGCATTGTTCAAGCCGAGGGCAATCACTGCTGTCTCCGCTCACCCGGAAAGATCCGCTAGGAGTCACGCCGGCTCCCGAGCTTTAACTGTGGAGGCGGCTGGAGGGCGGAGCCACGCACTGCCCGGGAAGCTGGCGCCTCCCCGAACCCCAGCGGACAGAGTCCTCGCCGCCTACTTTTGGTTCCGGGAGATTTTGCGCCCGCCTCCCAGCGGCGGTTACTGACGGCACCGACCCCCTACCCCTTACCCGCACAAGGCGAGACGTCTGACACGTTTAGTTCCTTGTCCCCAGGCAGTTAACTCTGCATCCGGCGGAAGACTCAGGGCCTCGGGGAAGATAGGAGCGCAGACCAGGAATGGATAACCCCTGGGAGCCGGTTGATGGTGTTGATATATGGTCTTCTGAGTAAAGGACACTTGCCCATTTAAAATTCTGTCAGTCCCTTCTATTTAACATGCACACTTTTCAGTTGCCCCCTCTCCGCGTGAGTGTGTGTGTGTGTGCATGCGCGCACACGCGCATGTGTGTCTAGTGTACTGAAAATGTCTCAACTTTTACTCCAGCAAGAACCGTCTCTATCAAAGAAATTGCTCCTGGACTGGCTCAGTAGTTAGCCTGAACTGTCTGATGGGAGTCTGATAGTTTAAAGAGCTATTGATTCGATGATTTGTTTTCTTTTCAGTGCTTGGGGATTGCTAGACAAAAAGGATAATCTGTGTCCCACAAAAGGACACAGAAGCAAGGGGAGCAGTTCAGCAAGGCAATTCTTTTGTTGAAAGGGTGCACCAAGACACAGCTAGAGTTTGGGACTGATGGCAACTGTCCCCCTTGTCCTCCCAAGAACTTTGCATCGCCTGGAGTCTGTGTGATTGGCTAGTTTTAAAATAATTACAGAGGAAATAAAACAAAAACGAAAACAAAAACAAAAACAAAAAACAAAAAAAGCCAAAAAAATAAACAAACCGTTAGGAAACGTGCGAATGTGAAGGTTACACGCGGGTTCACAAATCACACCACGAGATCGTTCCACGTGGGAGGTTTATTAGGGAAAAGGGGAAAGGGGTCGCAGAGACGAGGCAGAGAAGAAAGAGAGGGGGGGCTCCTGTTCTCTTTATAGGGAGATTTACAGCATGCACAGGTAGTTCCAGGTGGTCAGCAGGTGGTCTGGGTGTCTTCACAAATGCCTGATAACCATCTGTCAGGTTTCTTGGAGCTGGCTGTAGAAGTGCCTGCTTACTGATCCCAACATTCCTCCCTTTTTGTTTTATTAAAAAGTGGGGAGTCAGGAAGGAGTGATGGTGGGGGAAGGGCATAGGGACGACTTTTGCTCTTCAAGCTACTTCCTGCTGATTAGGGGCGTTGTCCATCTCAGAATACAGCTGGTCCACACCATCGGAGTCATAGTCATCTGGCTCTGTGGGCAGAGGTTTATAATCCTGTAAGAGTAACTGATTAATGGTTTGGTTAGAGATTTTTTTGCATTTGTTGTTGGAAAAATGTAGAGAGGAAGTTAATTAAGCAGGGTGCAAAAAGCAAAAGCAGAAAAACTAGCAAGAGAGGTGAGATAAGGGGCAGAATCCATTTCCATATGGGATTCTGAAAGGCCCAAGAGCTAGATGCCTCCAGCTCTTCCTTTCGTTTTTGTAAATCTGTTTCAAGTTGTTGGATTTTGTCCTTTACTATACCTGACTGGTTGACATAAAAACAGTATTCCTCCTGGAGGAAAAGGCAGAGGCCACCTTCTTTAGCTGTGAGGAGATCCAATCCACATCGGTTTTGAAGTACTACTGCTGCCAGCGAGTCATTCTGTCCTTGGAGGCTTAGTATTATCTGAGCCACCCTTTGAAGGTCCTGGATGAACTGGGAAGAAAGCTGATAATACAGAGTTAGTGAGGTAGCTAATCCTGCTGTTCCGGTCCCTAAAGCTGCCGTGATTCTGGCAGCAGCCAGCAGGGGTAGGATTTGAATTGCCCTCTTTTCCTGCCGGGCAGATTTTGAGTCCACAACCGGGATTGGTAGGAGCTCTCTGTCGCTTATTACCCCCAGCTCAGGGAAGAGGAGTACTAGAGTGCAAACTCCTGACCAACGAGCAGGCAGACGATGGTAGACCTGAGTGCCACAAAGAATCGAAATGTTATTCCTGGTAGGGCATTGGAGTTGAGATGAGGTCTCAAGGATTATAGTTTCATTACAGTCTAAAGAATTTAGTATTCCTACAGAGTGTATCCCAGATGCCTTGAAACAGCTTGCCACGCCAAAGAGGGTGATATAAGAAAGGTAGGGGGTTGTGGCAACAGTAGAGTCAGGGCAGTTAGTAAATGGTGAGGTGAGGTTGTTTGACAGAGTCACTGCAGAGGCTGTCAGCGGTACCTCTGACTTGGTCCTCTGTGGTACACACAGCCAGCAAGCTTCAAAATGGCCCAGTTGGGTCACATTAAGGAGCTTGTAGGCTGAGGTCAGAGTCTGGAGTAGGAGATTAAATGACAGGTTTGTGTCATTTATAAGAGGGGATGTTAGAGAGGTAATGATCTTAGAGGAGTGTTTAATTATCTCTTCTACTTCTCCCATTCCCAGATTTTGGGTAATTGGAACATATTTTCTTTGGATACGGATAGTACTTATCGGTAGACCGGGTGTGTAGCGGCGGTAGAATTTTCCAACGACACCTCCTTCCCATCTGGCATCCCACGGGTCTTGGATGTATTAGTAGAGGGTTTTTTTATACAGGTGAAGAAATTTCTTCTGTGCTGGTAAGTGGATTTGGCAAGACCAGTATGGGCAGCCTCCGTACGTGTCCGGCCAATTTTTGCAATAATCCTTTGTTTGATCAAAGAGAAAGCAAACAAAAACTCTATCAAATAAGGGGGGAGGGATAGAAGTGGGGGTGATGGCTATCTCAATCGGCTCCTGACAGCCTCCGTAGAGCAGTTCGTTAACCCTATTTGGAGAGATTTTTTATTATCAATGATGGTTTCTTGAACCTCAAATCTCCATACGTAGGGATTACCTTTAACAGAAATAGGCAAGAGGGAGAGGAGGAAAGATGCATATCCACTCCAGTGGAGTTGAACACTGCTCCTGTGGTGAGGCCTCATTCTTCTGGAACTGGAGACAGGGTGGTTGATCTTGGCATCTTTTGGAGCTTGAGGGAACAAGGCCTTGTTGGGGTTGATATGTAGGAAGGGGCATTATCTTGAGGAGAGGGGGTGAAAGGCTTAAGGTGGGATAGATGAATCCAGTGAGGGAAACCCTCAAGTTTAGCAGCTGTGGGAGTCACAAGAATCACCTTGAAAGGACCCTGTCATTTAGGAGAAAGTTCCTTAAAGCTTGTTCTAAGTTCCTTAGAGTTTATGTGACCTTGGACCATCTTTTCTGCTACAGAAAAGTTATTTAAAAAAAAGAATTTGGCAGTTTCAGAACTCCTCTTTGTAGTAATGTAACTTGTTTTTGCTTTGCCTATAAATAAGCAAATCATACGTAGACTCTGGGCTCCAGCAGGATCATGTCAGAATGGAAAGGGTTTTGATGAGAGTTTTTATGTTGTCTGAAAAGCAAGAAAGAGAGCAAAAAAAGTAAAAATGTCTGGTTAAGCCAGAAAAAGGAAACTAGGAACCTGAAGGTATACAGAATGTTGCAGAAGGTTAGTGAATGTATGTATAAAATAACCAGAGGGTAAATATAATTTGAGAAAGAACTGTATTTTAAAATATGTTGTACTTCATTTAAAAGGCTGGTGATTTCTCATTGCAAAATGTTTTCTTATGCTCTTTTAAGGGGAAAAAAATTCTGGCTATTAGGTTTGGTATGGCCAGAATAATTCATATAGTTTAAAATTGTTCTGTACTGTTCTGTTATGCAGTTGGTTCTAAAACTTATTTGATCACTATGTTGGAAATGTTGGTTGAGGGGGATTGTGGATGCTCCACAGTGTTTGCTTTATCATCAGCAACACCTAATGGCTATGTTTGGTATTGTCAGTCGCTGCCTGTGGTAGCCTAACACATGGCTAGCCGCCATGATGGTTGAGGGATAGAGAGCACGTGAAATTTTAGTTTTGCTGCCATATTTGTTTAGGGATTCCAGCTGAGACAAAGAGGGTGGAACCATGAGTTTGCCACCATTTTGTTTAGGTATCTCAGTTATGTTCAGTCATCTGATTAGTGCTAAATGCAAAGCTTTTTACTGTTCAATTTTAATGCAAGCGGTAGGAGCAGCAAGATTTGCTAGCCTCTCTATGAGCTGTATCTGATTAAAAGGTTTGCTTTGATTTTAGTTCAGAAAGAGCAGATTTGAAGTCATGCTAAATACTGCAGTTGAGCCTTACCTAGTCTCTTTGTTCAGGTTTTTTTTTAAGGTTAAGCCTAGGACGGGTAACTACAAAGTTTGCCTATTTGTCTTAAAATATATAGTTCTAGAACATGCATCTCAAAAATATGCTAAAACTAGAGAGTATAGCATTCTGTTTTATAGGACACAGTTTAGAGCAGATGATAAAAACAGAGTAACTCAGATATGCTGGCCCTCAAGCTTGTCAGAAATCTGAATATGGCATTTTAACTGTGTAAGCTTATTGTGACAGAAAGTCCCGAAATCCTGGCAGTAGCTCCCCCAAGGTCTCCGAGAAGATTTGGGCACAACGACAGATGACTGTGACTCTGGATTGTGGTATGCTAACCACTGGGCAATACTGCTCCAACTGGCCCACTGCTAGGGCCCAGCCTAAGCTGTGGACAAAGCCGGGGACACCTGAAGAGCCATTGTTTCACATTGTGAGAGGCAAGGTGAGGTCAATCTCTTCTGTTCCTCTTTCCACAGAAGCAGTAGAAACAGTCTCTTATTTTCTGTACTTGGCTGGACTGCCTCTGTTCAGGATGCCGTGAGACACATGAGCCAGGGACACTGCCTAGGTGATGGACTAA